CCTGCCCAAAAATAGCCCTGGTCATGCCAGCCACATGACCACGGAAACTTCTTCGGACAGCGCTGGCTCTTCGACTTGGAAACGGAGATGAGCACCACTCCCTAGAGTCGGATCCGACTGGCTTTCGAGCAAGGGAAACCTTTACCTTTACCTTATCCTGCCCTACCCCGCAAGCGGGCTCAGTACAGCTTAACAACAAAAATCCAACAGCAGAAAACATGCATTAGTTATAAAACAGTTCATTAAAACATTAGCTCAACAGTAAAAATTTAGTCGACCAATTCCTGACAGCGTAGCCATAATTTCTTCTTCTTTCAACATCTGCTGGGCGCGTGCCAGGGAGGGCGGGGGGGTGCTGGGGTGCTCTCCATAAACAGATCATACCAAGATGTAAATAAGGCCATGGGCGTTGAAGCAGGGAAGGCCGATGTTATTTGACATCTGCCACCTCAGCCAAAGGCCTGGGGGAACAGCTCCATTTTGCAGGCCCTGCGAAATTGCAGTAAGTCCCGCAGGGCCCTGATTGGGAGCATGTTCCACCAGGCTGGGGCCAGGGCGGAAAAGGCCCTGGCCCTGGTTGAAGTAAGGCGGACATCTTTCAGGCCGGGGATTACCAAACGGTGTTGGTCTGAAGAGTACAAGGCTCTTCGGGGCACATATGGGGTGAGACAGTCCTGCTGTGGCTAATGGGACCTTTGCATGTGTAGGGGAATAGCCTGCAGCTTAAATCTGCAGGTAGATATGCCAGACATAAAGCGATGTAATATCGAATTGACCACTAGAGGGATCCAAGTATGGGTGGCACAGAAAAAGGATCCCTGAAGGAACAGGAACACACAAGCGAGGAAAGCAAGAATGCAGAAAAGCTCATGGGGTCTGCCATCGGAAATTCATTTCTGATGGGTCTCGCTGAAAGAAACAGAAGTAATCTTTTGTCATTAGATGAGTGTCAATGACTATTAGATGTATGAGCTTCATTTGACCTCTTAGTTCAGTGGTGGTCTGTCTCAGGGGGATGAGTACGTGGGACAGATACATTCATGAGTGCCGTCCAGTTACACCCAAATTACAGGGACCCCAGCAAGGAGCTTTCAAGGCAAGTGAGAAGCAGAGGTGGTTTACCATTGCCTTCCTCTGCAGGGCCTTCCCCAAGTACCAACCCTGCTTAGCTTCCCAGATCTGGTGAGACGAGGCCATACCGCACCATTCCACATCCGGTTTGGTGTAGTGGTTAAGAGCAGCGGATTCTGATCTGGGGAAACTGGGTTTGATTCCCCACTCCTTCACATGCAGCTGCTGGGTGACCTTGAGTCAGCCACAAGTTCTCTCAGAGCTGTTCTCTCAAGACCAGTTCTTTCAGAGCTCTCTCAGCCCCACCTTACCTCACAGGGGGTCTGTTGTGGGGAGAGGAAGGGAAGGAGAGTGTAAGCTCCTCTGAGTGAAGGGCGGGGTATATATCTAACCTCCTCTTCATCAACTCATGAATGACAAATGGGAGAACGGATAATGCCATTCTGTCCCTCTTGTGAGCCTTCCAGAAGCATCTAATTGGCCTCTCTCAGAGAGAGAGAATCGTAAAACTGATGAGCCTTTGATCAGACCCAACGAGCCGATTCGGCTCTTATCTTTCCCCCCTGTTCACCCTCTCAGTTCAATGAGCGGATAGATCAAAAGTGCCCCTTGAAGTTACATTAGCGGTTTGCATGTTTATCTTTCCCCTGCATGTGTCTCAACAAAGGTAAGGTCCTTCAGCCGGTAGAACTATCCGGGGCCTATCATTGTGGTGTGACTACCATCGGCCGTAGACGTGCATATTTCTGCGATGGGCGTACGCTTTGTTCTTTACTCATAGATCCACGTTTGTGACAAAAAAAATAGATTTCCACCACAAACAACTCGTTTCCCTGAAGCACCAACTTCCATCAGTTGCCTCCCCCAAACTGAAAGAAGGGAGGTGGGTTTTGATGCCTCACATGTGGGACTTTCTCTTCTGTGGACTGGGTTAACAGGTTCAGTAAGGAGAACAAGGAGACCCTCGACCCCTACGTCTTCCTGCCCTTCGGAGCGGGTCCGAGGAACTGCATCGGGATGCGCTTCGCTCTCCTCACCTTGAAAGTGGCCGTCGTCGTCCTGCTGCAGAGATATACTTTCCGAACCTGCCAAGAGACTCAGGTAGGCGACAGGACTTTCAAATGCAGGGCGCGTGGTTTTACTGGACCCGAACACGTGACGCTGCCTTGGAGGCATTTTTGGCCCTGGTCTACATAGTGGCAACCTTGAGAGGTGCACTTTCAAGCTTAGGAGGCCTGGCCCATAAAGAAAGTGAACAAGGTTGTCTTGGAAAGAAATTGGAATGAGACTTTCTATTGTGGCTCTTTGTTCCTGAGGAAGGACCAGAAGCCTGAAACACTGTATACTACCTAAAAAAAGTGTTGGATATCTACATTGGACTAGATGCATTCTGTAGACTTCTATATTTCCTATGACGGATTTTATGTACAGATTTGTTGCTGATTGGAGCTGCGGTGGCTCAAGTGGTTAAGACGCTGAACTGCAAGCTGTGGAAGGTCGGTAGTTCAGCAGTTCAAGACCCGGGTGCCGCATGATGGAGTGAGCTCCCGTCTCTAGTTCCAGTTCCTGCCAACCTAGCAGTTCGAAAGCAAGACATTGCAAGTAGACAAATAGGTACCACTTCGGTGGGAAAGTAACAGCGTTCCGTGCGCCTTGGTGTTTAGTCATGCTGGCCACATGACCGTGGAAACGTCTTCGGACAGCGCTGGCTCTTCGGCTTTGAAACAGAGATGAGCACCACAACCCTAGAGTCGGATTCGACTGGCTTTCGAGCAAGGGAACCTTTACCTTTACCTTTACCTTGTTGCTGATTACATATGTGTTTCACTCTGCTGAAGTCTCTTTTTGTATATTTACTCTTGCGGGGATTTCAGCATACAGTTGTTTTGCTGCTAGCTGCCTTGTACTAGAAAAGAGGCGCTGGGGTGGCTCAAGTGGTTAAGACGCTGAACTGCAGGCTGTGGAAGGTCGGTAGTGCAGCAGTTTGAGACCCGAGTGTGCCGCATGACGGAGTGAGCTCCCGTCTCTGGTCCCAGCTCCTGCCAACCTAGCAGTTCGAAAGCAAGAAATTGCAAGTAGATAAATAGGTGCCACTTCGGTGGGAAGGGAACAGCGTTCCGTGCGCCTTGGTGTTTAGTCAAGCCGGCCACATGACCGCGGAAACATATTCAGACAGCGCTTGCTCTTCGGCTTTGAAACGGAGATGAGCACTGCAACCCTAGAGTCAAACTCGACTGGCTTTCGAGCAAGGGAACCTTTACCTTACTAGAAAATAGCAAGAGTCCAGTAGCACCTGAAAGACTAACATAATATGTGGCAGGGGATGAGCTTTCGTGAGTTACTGCCAATGCTCCCTCTAAGCCGTGGGGTCTTGTGAGCAAAAATTCCCCTTTGTGAGCTCCCGGCGTTAAAGCTGTGCGCGAGCGATTTGGCGACTGCATACATCCGTTTGCTCTGGAGCCCTCCTTTTTCCTGAGCTAGGACAAAAATGTGTGAGCTGGAGGCTAAGAAACTGTGAGCAGGCTCGCGTTAACTCGGCTTAGAGGGAACACTGGTCACTTCTCCGCTTCTCTTCACTTCTCTGAAGGAGTGAGCCAGTGACTCACGGAAGCTCCTCCTCGGCCACATGTTTTGTGAGTATTTCAGGTTCTCTGGGACTCTTGCTCTTTTCTACGGCTACAGACAGGCTAACACGGCGACCCACCTCGATCGGCTTCCTTGTCTTGAATCAGATCCTCGGTCCATCGGAGTTGATATTGTCTCCTCAGACAAACCTTGGGAGCTTCTCCATGCCAAGCAGATGCTCTGCCAGGGTGCCATAGCCCCCTCCCTAGCCGATGTTGGTTCCCTACGAGAGACTGCCGTTCTGATAGCTAGATTCGAGTCCTCGCAGAGGAGGGAGAGCTTGTACCTGAATAAAACTTGGTCTTAAAAGTGCCACTGGACTGTTTTGGGCCAGGGGACCAGGGTTGGGGGCTCTGCAACTTACCTGGCTGCTTCTTGCTCTGACTGAGGGCTGCTGGGAGCAGGGTGCGGGGCTTGTTGCATGTGCCCGCCCCCTTGGCTCTTTACTGCCGGAGCTCCTCTCCTGTGTGCTCCTGCAGGAAATGACCCCTGGTTTTACATAGCACCTCCTGTAAAACTATGACATGGAAAAGAAAAAAGAAAAGCCAGGCCACAAATAGGACTGTGGCATTAGTTGGATACTAGCTCAGATAACATTAATGCATCGGTTGGCATGTGTCCATCCTTAGACGTTTGGTGGAACGTTTGTAGGTAGAAACGTCTGCTGATTGTGAAAAGGTGAAGGAGTCACACTAAGCTTTGATGATACAGATATATAGTTAGTTTATCACGGTTTCATTTTGTTGTTTTCCAGTCCCCGGTTGGGGGGAGGGGATCCCCTAGTTTGGAGCCCCTCCCCCCTGCTTCAGGGCTATCCAGAACTGGGGGAAATTACCCCCCCCCCAAAAAAAAACAGGCAAGAAACTGAAAATAAATGTGCCGTGCCTACACCACCCGGAAGTGATGGAGGCTCATCGGTGACGTTGGGGGGCAACTAGAGATGTAAAATTTGCGGAAATTTTGAAGCTCGGAAAAACCCCCGGGTTTTTTCCATTTTTTTCGGAAAAAAACTGAAATTTTCGGAAAAATTGAAAAAAATGCTACATTAGCATTTCTTTTGTCTTTTCTAGATTGAAAGTCATTCTGTTACTTTAGGAACATAAAATATGACTATGGACATTTTTACTTGACATGAAATTATCACAACTAGCATATTAAAAATATAGTGTATCCAAGCAATTATTACAAACAGAATACCCACCCTCATGCTAAAACAAAACTGAAACTTTTTAATTTTCTTCTGACAATC